TGTGGACTAGAGATGGACACCTCCATACACGTGGACTAGAGATGGACACCTCCATACATGTGGACTAGAGATGGACACCTCCATACATGTGGACTAGAGATGGACACCTCCATACACGTGGGGTAGAGATGGACACCTCAATACATGTGGACTAGAGATAGACACCTCCATACATGTGGACTAGAGATGGACACCTCCATACATGTGGACTAGAGATGGACACCTCCATACATGTGGACTAGCGATAGACACCTCCATACATGTGGACTAAGATAGACACCTCCATACATGTGGACTAAGATAGACACCTCCATACATGTGGACTAAGATAGACATCTCCATACAAGTGGACTAGAGATGGACACCTCCATACATGTGGGGTAGCGATGGATTATTGCATGCGTGTGGATTACAGCTGAACGCGTTGCAAGATTAACATATAGTCACGAAAAGCATATACAATTTCTAAAAACCGTCTCCTAGATTTCAAAATTCAGACTGTTTAATTTATTTTTTAGCTCTACTGTATCCATTTCTAAATGGGATTGATGCTTTCCACTGCTGTGTTGTGCTGTGCCATGCATAAGCTTTACATTAGGAAAACATGTCATTTTTAAAATTCTCCTCAGTCGCCACTAGGTTTCAAAACTTAAGTCTTCAAGATATCGTAGAAGTTCAAATCAAACGTATGGTAAAGTATATGTCATTATTTCGCTCTATGGTATGTTATCTTAAATTGTGTCTTTTGTACAATCTTCAGAATTCTGTCTGTTCTATAGAGTTAAAAAGGTTTCAGCTGGAAGAGTAATGTAATTCATTAAATGTGAGCAGTACCAAACAGATATTATTCCATGACATTACGATGGCAAGTGAAAGAAGCATTGCATTTATTTTGGGATCCTTTCTCTACGGCTAAGACTTGAGTCCCAAATTTGACATGTTCTCGTTATTACAACTTTTTTAAACTCAAGGAAAAGGTACACCATAGTGCACCATGAAAACATTTCACTTCAATATTTCGATAATTCAGTTCGGATCATCGCGAACATGAAAGAGCTTGATCCTTTATAAACATGAAGTCACAATGTCAGACTACTTCAAAGCTGTCGATCAATTCCAAGGTATTTTGTGATTTACTGAAGGGTGCGAGTGGTGTCATTGTCAAATACCTTTGACATTGCAACCTTCTGTGCATTTCCGTCGAAGTCCACACACGCATTAACTTATTTCAGAACAATAAACTAATGAAACTTTATTTAATACATGTACATATCGATATTGTGACTGACGTAAGTGCTAACATACGTGTTCCGCTAAAGTGACGATTTAATTTCAGACCTTGTAACTGACTACGTGGTTGGTACAGTGGAATTTGAACTCGTGACCAGTACCACGTTGTAATGTTATTAACTGGTGTTAGACTCGTGTCCTGTGTTAATTACGAATCATGATTGCGAGATTACATGCACTACACATTGGTAAGTATACTGCGAGTCGCACGTGTGCCCACCTCTAGACCTACCTGACGCCAGGAATCTATCCACGCGCGTGTCACGACTCTTACATCACAATACTAGTATTGATCACATTTCGTGCTCGACCGGCCACCTTGATACTAATGAGAGAACACTGAGCAATATACTGACAAGGTGTGCCAATGTAGGCTAACACACGGATACATGTTGATACAATACAAGGTGCGCCCATATAAATGTATTGTTCGTTATTTGAACTAGACGGAGAATTAAAAATTGCGTGCTAGAGGTTTGTGTTTATGTATTAAATTATACCTGCAGTGCACCAGCCGTCTCTATCGATAAATCAGCGATCACGAAAGCACTAGCTCTCACGACAAAGCTGACAAAGCTAACAAACGCGCCTGCTGCAGTCAGTACATTCAATTTGTAATACATCCGAAGAATATTCCATAGGATTGCTTCACCAAATGCCAGCCAGGCTTGCATGCATTAGAACCATACATATATGCGCTAATTCGTCGATATAATTGAAGTGTATACCCAACTGAAACATACTGTGAAGCCATTGTCTTTTGTGACCTCATATAATAATTTAATCAATACAAAATAATTGGTTTAAACCCTATTAAAAAGAGAGAAAGGTAAACATACCGGGAGCTATATATAAAGGATTTATTACAGGCATGTTGTAATAAATAACAAACTTTCGCCTCAATTTATCGAACATTGAATGAAAGGAGTTCTTTGTTTTACAATCTTAATGAAAGAAACGTGTACGGAAATCTAGGGTGTGAGGTCCGAAGGTTCAAGTTTTTTTTCACCCAAATGCTCAGATTTCCTTATCTATAAATATCGACAGGGAGACGGTGGGAGTAAACTGTGACCTCATCACATGTATGTGTGGAGCGGAAGTGGTGTAATCTAACCGGAGAAACACGTAACAAGCCGCTACAGGTCACCCTTAAGAACTTGTTATTTAGATAATGAGCAAAGACCGTTGGAACGAACCCAAGATCAGTTCAGGCATGAAGATCAAGATGGCAGCCACGAGATAGGCAGGGTATGACATCAGATTGTCTACCTATTTGTACAGGTGTGCTATATTTAGTAAACCTATGTACAGTTTTGTGAATTGTTTGTGACCACCCATGCCCCGCTTGGTCACTGAAGAGCGATAATATTACCACGCGACACAGAGATAAACACAGAGATATGAAAACGTCTGTAGATAAAATAGTTGTTACAGTAATATTACTATACTGTGAAGGACTGATCTATGATGTCACTTCAGCTGTTACTGATGGTAGGCCTCCAATAACGGACGTGTGGTACAGCTGATACAACAATGCAAACATTGAAAAGGTCGTCGTAACCTCCATTACACCAGTTTTACAGCTGATATGGTTATTTATAATGTTCTATTTAAGAATATTCACTAACGTGTATATAATACACATAGCCAACGTGATAAGCTATCTGGATGGTATACAAGTGCAAAGATGACCTATATTATGGTACATAGTACTACCTTATGTAATGCTAATCACCTAAACACATGTATACCGTACTTATACCACCATTTTACTGCCCTGCAATAATCTGCGAAGAAATAATTTCAAACCCTAAACAAGATTAGTCACGTAAAATATCGGTCAATTAGTGTTAGGGTTACACCGGACGGCGTGTCCCTACCTGCACGAGCGCGCGAGCATCGCTTTGATTATATCGGCGAAGTAATTATACATTATCAGTGTTTTGTAAATCTTTGCAGGAAATTAATCGGCGGCACCCATCCTCGCCATTGCTACTCGACAGCTTGTCTGGTGATGTGATAGCCCCGATCGATTGGCCAATTAATAGCCCGATAGGAGATCGACCGCAGATCTTTGCACACCACACATACCATGGCATTCCCAAAATAACTGTTGGAAGCGTTTAAATGTAGTCCACAGCAACTGTCACGTTTGCAGCGATATGGCTTTACAATTGCATATAAAGAGAGAGCTTTTCCTAGGCCTCAGGGATACCCCGCCAAGTCAGAGGATTATCGTAAAAGCTACGCATTTCACCTCCTGACCATCTATATCTTAAACCCCTTTAGTTGGCCAATGAAGTTTGACGTGTGTTATAACGTTCGCAAAATGTTTCGTAAATAATTTTACATAAAGTTGTGAGTCAGTCGGTTCGTCGGCGAATGCAATCGAACATTCTCAAGCAGACGACATCTTCCCTCCCAGTGTGTATCAGTCGCATTAAAGCATACCTGCCCAAAATAGACTATTACGTCACGATTACACAACAGCAAAAAACGCTTGTTTAACGTTCTCTGCAAAATACAGATGTGTATTCAGTGTACGTGTTAAATTATATACGGGTGTTAAAAATCCTGGAATACGTAAGATAAACTCCAGACGCCTCCCGAACAGTTCCCGCACGAGTATGGTTGAGATGCCCTAGTTCCGGTGACGTCATTTCACAGACAAGTCCTCAGGCACTGTCATTTTGTTGTCGCTTCACCTAGATTAAACGAAGCGTGTCGAGTATTTCATTGAGAAAATTGTAGTCGCGGAAAAGTTGGATGGAAATTTCTGTCATAACGGGTAAACATGTTGTACAATACACATTATAGACGAATTGAAAGTGCTCCGCGCCATATAATCAGAGCACCTGTTACATTTATAAGCAGGATTATATATATATGTAGAGGTTCATTGAGAACTCATGGAACATTGCCAATATTGCTTGAAACTGAAAATCTGTGTATAGATAATCTATGCTTGTATGTGTGTAGTACTTCTGTACAATACAAGGGTTGAAGGTCGATAACGTGTTTTCAAACATTTATAGACAATATGTAGGGCTATGACGTCACGAGTCTGTTCTATAAACATCACAAGTTTACTCTGCCAGATTATTCCGTCTTCCAACTATGAATTTCTGCTAACTCTTGAAAAAAAGGATCCGAAGCCGACGAGGAAGAAAAATGTTATCTGCTATCACCTGCTATCAGGTTAAACAAATCAAATGATCTGCAAGGCGAGTTTAAAATCACCCGCAAGCACTTCCGAATTTTATCAAGATGACAGTGTCAACGTGAAGACGTTAAGTTACGTAGTCTTTGATATACAACAGAAGGATATAGCTACCTACCACTTTATGGTGCCACAACAACGTGTTTGAACCCTGACAAAACTTGGCGTATTCATATTCAGTAGTAATCCAGTATTTTGTCAAATAAAAAAATGAATAGTTCAGAACCGCTCTAATTTAAGTTTGCTGAGAGAGACAAAATATCATATATATTGCATATAATTTAACTCGTTGTCCTGCGCTTCTGATCTCTCCTAGCGTTCATGACAAGATGGTTCCATGAATATCGTTTGTATGTACCCTAGATATTTTGCTACCATATCTATTAAAGGAAAATAACTTATTGTGGTCAGATTAAGACTCAATCTTCTGGTATAAGAAAACCTCGAAACAAGAACTTCAATGGTCAGACAAATGAAAACACCTCACTGATTTAGTTTCGCTTAGTATGTTGTATTCTCATAACAATAAACAGTTTTTTCCCAATACAAACATTTTTGTAAACAAATTTAATATAAAATGACAATATATGACGACCACGCTTCGTGTTAAATCGTATACAATGAAAGTTAGTACTAGGTGTTAGCACTTAAGTTTGATGTCTGATGTACAATGTACGGGTTGGTATCGACCATGTGTATCAAGTCTGGCTTACACAGCCTCCGTATAGTTACGTATAATAGTACATCTATACAGAAAACGAGGCACCTACACTGATAGATTCTATTAGAACAGAATCAATGGGGGGAAAGTCTTATCGCCAGACACACGTTTTCCTGTAAATCTCATATATTCATGGACGATACCTACTCGTGCATCATACACTGACATGTTACAATGAAGATGGATATTCAATACACGATATACATACTTATATATATATATATATATGCTTATGTAACAGCAGTCGTGTGGTCTGACAAAATATATCACAAACAGCCAACGACCATTTACAGAACCCCAGACTCACACATGTCCCTTATAACTTACATCAATGATATTGTATAGACGATATTGCGTCTATAATCAATTACAATCACAAAATGGGAAGATGGACTTCATAGTCGAAATTAAATTATATCCACTCTGAAATTCAACTCATTCGTCTATATAAAACAACCAATATCGTACTTTACTAGGACAAGACCAAAATAAAGGGACATGTGCAAGTCTAAGACCATTTCATAATGAGAACGCAACACTAGTATTTGTATTGACTAGGTTGAGCCAACACAAAGAACACAAAATAGCTTAACGAGTAAAACTAATAGACACAATGGGGTGTCCAGGCATGTTCTCCTCAACAAAATGTCATCTGTTAGTTCTATGCTTATCTCCAAACCACGATTATTATAAATCGTTTTTATGGAACTTTGCCAATCCCCGAAAAAAACTCTTAACTAGGCGAACTTGACCTCTGAACAAATGTATCCGTGTCGTTTCTTGAATGTGTATTACACTGAACATGTTCATAGACATGACCTAGTTGTACATTGATTTATCCTTAGAGTAAATATACCAAGTACATGTTGGTAGGATAACATTTTCACCCAAACCGCGTCACCATCATGTGGTATGTCTTCTACTCTTAGTGCTGGCTTTCAGGGTTTTAAACAAACCTGTCTGGTTTCGGTTCTGAAAAGTATGCTTGATTTAATTTCGTGAACATTAACAAGTGTTAATATGATCTTTTGAGTTGTAAACAATAACAAATGGTTAGAAGGAAAACGTGTTAATTCTAAATAAAGCAAGTATTTTCTTGATTAATACCTTTCGGGAAATAAAACAAAGAACAATTTTAAATTCAAGAAAGAATCACGTTGGTAGATTACTTAAGGAAATGGAAGCTGGGCCACAAATGTTAGGTTTTTATCTAATTATCTGCATTATTTAGGTGTAATTCCACAAACCAATAAACATGCTTATTACGCTTAAAAGGGAACAAGTTTTCTCCATACTCTAACTGTTGTACATCTGGGTTGTTACATATTATCAGATGTTTACATCTTGAAGTTTCCAAATCTTAGTAAAAAGAACTTTTATAACAAGCTTCTCCTTAATTATGAATCAATTAATTGATACAAAACAAATTTTTCCCTTTTGTAATTCTAATTGTTCCAAATTTTCACAAAGGATATGGTTCAATTCGTCTTGCGTATAACCGGCACACATGACAATTTCAAAGCAATAAATTCTCACTGGTTTCCATTCATAAACAATCCTTACTCTTTAATCCGACAACTTATCCTTTAAACTATTCCATTCTTTGACTAAGGTGACGCAAACGGATGTCTTCGCAGTAGATGTAAAGTTTCCAATGTTTCAGATAACTCTTAACATTTGGTACAAACAACGTAATGTTTCCACATGGATAGATAAAGCAGTAAAAATCTCCATCTGATATATCAACAGAAAAAAAATTAATCACATTTCAATTTCACACGATTCAAAACAATTAAAACAATTATTAGATCTAGACTCATGACACGTCACTAAACCAAAACGTGAACTTTGTATCAAATTTAAACAACTTGCAATGCAACTACCAATCGGGACTGCTACAAATCGCCAGTGTCAACTCGCTAAAAAAACACCAAAAGCATCGTGAAAAAATAACCATTCAGTAGGGTGATGTCGAGCTATTTCAAATATAGACCAAGTTTGAAGTCAATGAAAAAATACAGAAAAACCGATACTTCAACAAAATAATGGCACCATAAGGTCTTAATGATACCAATCAGCCAATATATCAAATTTCAATCTACTGTAAACAATTAATGGAACCTTTTACAAAACGTAAAAAGGTATGGATACAACCGGAGCGTCAACATCCCAGTTATGTGAACAACAATGAGACTGAACAGGACTGCGAAATACTACATTAAATAACTAAATACCATAGTATATCTAACATATGGTAAAATCTACCTACAACATTGGAGAAAACCATTTTTTTCTTCAATATAAAAACGACAAAATGACATTTAAATGCAATCGTTTGATTTTTAAGACAAATGTCAAATACTTTTTAAAGCCAACACGGTCAAGATGAAATGTTTGTCGGAACATAAATAAATCCCTTTCACGTCTATTGTTACTGTGGCACGCGTAAGAGCTATCCCGTGACACACTTGTCACTTTTCCGTTATTCAGACACTGTCAGGGGCCAGGACCTTAGTCGTAAATAACCCACAGATAACACTTCTAGCCTAGGTCACAAATCACGATCAACATTTTCTCGAACGTGCCGCGCCTAAACTTTAATTCAAAATGGATAAAACATCACACAATATCTACGTAACAGCCCGACAGATCGCTCGGGGCAGAGTCCACACTTGTTGGTATCATGCTGCCTTGACATTCAGGCAAACGTACCTGCACAGTTTAATATTTCAGTACACTTTTTCCCACTCGCTATGGTATTCGAGTTGAAAAAAACTTTGATTGCTTCACATCCCTGCTCATCAATTTGACTCCATAAGGAATTTAAAACGGAAAGTAAAACCGAATACTTTATTGGTAAAACCGCTCAGGTATCGCGCTCTTTCTTGATTTTCATGTCCTTATAGTCATCACCGAGAATTGTTGCTATTTCTCCTTGCATAAAAGCCCATGGCACGTTCGAACCAACTAGAGGACACTTTTTACCGCTTGGACAGTACACTTCCGCTCCTGCACCCTGTCGCTTGATGCTATCCCTGGAACAAGGGAAGCAGAATTTGTGATCCCCTATTGACGGACATTGCACAAAGTGGGTATCCTCTAGACGTTCGTGACAGATGGTACATTTGAGCGATTCGGAGGGCACTGTTGATTCGGGCATTGTTGAAGTGCCCTCTCCCGTTTGGCCCGAAGTAGGTCTCACTCCACGTAACGTCTGCTGTTGTGTACTTGTAGGGGAATGACTGTTGTGTCGCGAGGATCTGTTTCCATCGTTTCCACTACGAATCGGAGAACCGGAGCCGGAAGCTAAATTGTCAGTAACATTCATTAATGCCGCCATTGGAGATGGTCCCGTATGGACGGGACCATTGGCGCCATCGGGCGGTGTAGGAGTATGGTTACTCAAAGGCGATACTGACGTAGAACTGGCCGACCCGTAGCCAGCGGAAGTGATTGTCAACTTAAGAGCTTCCGTTTGATTTTGTATCCATTGCTGACGTTTCCGTTGTTCCCCGAAATCGCTATCTGGCTCTGGCGATGTTTTCCGTTTTTTTCCTTGACCCTCTACTGAATTTTGCCCCACTAGTCCCCGCGGGTGTACACCGGGTGTCGCTTGCCGGAAGCAAGTGGACGGTGAAGGCAAAGGCGGTATATTTTGATGAACGTATGGTGCTGGAAGTAAATCCTGTTTGACTGGTTCCTTGAAAAACCTTACAGTCTCTGACAAAAGTTCACTGAGTATCTTCCAGTCCCCAAGTCCATGTTTCATTTCATATTCTAGATATTTGTACCCGGACGAAAGACCTTTGCCAACATCTTTACCACTGTCATGATGCATTTGTTTAGCCACACTTGACGCACTGTTGTAAATGTTCCCTGAGCCCAGCGGATATTCCATGAACACCTTCAGTTCAAAGTCAATCCCGTTCTTTGACACGGCATCGAATGCAAATACGCGTCCAAAAACATTATGATCTTTCTTGAACCTTATCTCAAATGGTACCGATGATGACAACATTGACACAGTTTCTCGTACAATTTGTGGTCTTTTGGCCATTTCCTCTGGAGAACTGAACTTAAATGGATTTTCCTCGTTATGATGTGAGTTATGTGAATCAGCGTCGTCTCCGTCGTGTTTACCATTGTGTAAGATGTTTGGTGGAACGGGACCACCAATATTTGGTCCGGGACCTGAACCGTACCCATGTCGCCCCGGGGGTAGGATTCCGATACCAGCCGTGCTGTGAATCAGGGGATGATGCATTGGGAATACAGTTCGTGATGTAACAGGGATAGCTGGGGTCCTATGATGGTCAGGACCAGAGTCCTCACCTCTCCCATGAACCCCGTTAGGCCCTGAGGGTGGAATACCATTTGTAAGTCTCTGAGGAGATGCACTGTAATCACCAATAATGTTTCTATTTCTATTTTCATACCTTTCGATTTGGCCCGGAAGTGGTCTCGGAGGTTCCATAGGTCCATGTTCTGATGAATTTCTGTTGGATGATAAATTCCCATGAGGCTGATGTGTCTTTAATGATGGTCTCGATTCATGAAATCCATGTGATCTTTTCATTTGTCGTGCAGCATCAAGGACCATTTCAATACGATCTGCTCCTTCATAATTGACGCAACCACGGCACACAGGTTCAGTAAAATCATGGACCATCGCCCAGGGCATTCTAGGCAAGTCACATAGGTAACACTGTTGTCGGGGCGCCCTGTGCGGCATTGACATGGTGCCGAACGTACGCCTCTCACAGTCAGCCGCACATATAACCAAACTTCACGTTAGACGTGTAGTAGAAGCACAAATATTCCCGATACGCCTTGAATTGATTCATAACCGAGTCACACTACCGCCATCCACTTGAAAATATACGATATGTAAGGGCTGTCTGCGCATGCGTTTGTATTTGTAAACTCGATCGACCTCCGTGTGTGTTGTGTACGTGTGTGTGTGTTGATATTCACGTTTGCACAGAGCTCAAAGCAATCACGCAACCGACCCAGCTGAATTACAGCGCTATTCGATATCTCAATCACCAGGGGATACCAATGTTAACCTGCATAGTAATACCGGCGGAAAATCCTTGCAAGCGTCTATACACACACGCAAGGGTGAATTGTCTATACAATATGTGTGCTTATGTCGCAAACAAGAATAGGTGATATACGTCATAGATAAAGCCAGGACAACAGGCCACGGCTGTCCCTGGATACCGCTCTCTATTCACCAACTCGTCAATGGGTTTGACATACTCGACCGCCGCTGTTGTTAGGCACTGGCAGTTATATTGGTATGTGATTTGACCGACTAGAGAGATTCGTTTTTTAGCTTAAACAATAAAGGCTTATTTTGTTCAGACTTACTATCCCTTTTACCGAGCATTGTTTGAAATGTTTTTTTTTTCAATTTACATTAATTTTCTCCATTGATTCTGTTATTGCAAATAAGCAGAATGATACATCGTATTACACAAACACACGAAATGTATGCAATCACATGAAATGTTAAGAAAAAGCTTTGTTGATGTTATGACAGTCTCGCGTGCTACGTTGAACTTTATTTTCCACATTCTGATTAAAGAGTATTAATTTACTTGCTTTCGTGCCTTGAATACTTCGTGACACATTAGGCCTCGTACAGATTTTGAACGAAGTGAATGATGAACTCCGCCAAACACATCGATAGTACTAGATTAAAGGCAGGATCTTGGGTTTGCAGGCAAACACGACACAAAAACGTTTATTTGTCTGGGTTTCTCAGAGGGAGAGGAAATCGATGGAAAATCTATCAGACTTCATGTGGCTTGTGCGTGTCTGCCCTCGTTTTCCCGGCCATGGAAACAAATAGCCTGACAGCGTTAATGACGTCACGCAAGCAGCGTAACTTTGGAAGCCTGCCAATATTTTTTTCTGACAAATCATCAGGTCTCTATGTACATGGGTGCTTTATCAGACTGTTTCCCGATTCTGTCATGCATAGCAGATGTAGCGTCTGCCTCCGCATGTTTGCCCTGACCCATTTGCTCCAGATGACGCCAACATCAAGTCAATATTCGCCAGGACATTTCAATGCAAAACGTGAACATGGTCCGTTGTCGTTTGCAATGAAAATCAATGCTATATATTTTCAAGTAACAAAAGTGAATGAAAAAGAAATTTATAGCACCTTGGTTCCTAATCTATAAAGTACAAACTCCATTGTCAACTAAGTAAATCCTTATGTCTAGAATAGTGTGCAGTAACACAGATGTGTATATCATTTGTCTCAATGTTAGTGTACATGGACTGCAGTTCCATGTTTTAGTTTTGACGTTGTCACTGTGTATTTAAGAAGATAAATTACATTTTTTCTTCAGTTTCCCCTTTCTTTTCATTTTGACATTTAGAAAAAAAAGGTATCACGTATCTTGTTGAATATCGTTTCATTTTGGAAATACCTATCATTAAGTTAGCTTAAATAATCGAAAGACTTCAAATGTCATGAAATGCTATTTCTACCGTATACAAGTAGTGTAATAGGACAGGTTATTCCAACACAAATAACTTCAGAAATCCACATTCCTCCACAAAACATACACATGAATTAATAACTAAAAAAGCTATCATATCTCTTTTCACTTTTCATATACTTTCCCTTTAACAATATTACTGACGTGGATTCTGTGCAATCGTGCATTTAAAACAGCACCTTAAAAATTGGCTAGGGGTTATTTACATTTATGTAAGAATTTTGATCTCATTGTCCGCAATACGATTGCTATATGTTGAAGTCTATTTTGATGTAAGCTATCCTTTTTTAGTCGCTGTCGAGCCGGGCGGAGGCGATATCCTTTGTTTACTTTTGGTGATGGTGTAAAACTCGTGAAGTGATAAAGAGGATAATAATAGATCGGCCAGATGTTGAGAGGTAGAGTGAATATAACCAGCTTATCTAGGCAAAGTGTATAGTATTATCAGCAGTTTATTTCCGTATCCTAGCCGAGTAACTAGGTACGTGCATCATCACGCCATGACGTCATCAGCTTCACCAGAGTGTGTATATATATATCTATGCATGTGTGTAAAGATATTTAAATACTATTCAGTATTGTTGGCCTAGAGAAGTCAATTAACTTGTGTAACAACAATTAAATCTATCTATCTATATATATAATAGATGTCGATGAATCTTCATCTACATAAGGACGGACCGGAACAAAAGGGAACGAAAGCACATGTACAATCAATTTATCCGGAACTTGTGTGATATGACAAAGATAACCATACATATGCGACCCAAGGAACCACTCAGACGCCTTGCTAATGTTTTGGCGACCTAAATACTGAGGTCTCCTCTGGTACACGAAACTCCGCCTTAGGTTCCGGAAATGATCGCACGTGACCGTCGTGTTGCTGAAATGCTTTTTTTCTGTGTTAGATTTTCCAACTACGTCTTACGCTCGACAAAACAAGGTAAATTGTGTTGTAGGTTTTTTACTTTAACAAGTAATTGGTATTAGAGCTTTATCCCTTGGTGTCATTCAATGACAAAGTTCGAGACAGATCAACACAAAACGTCCAGTCACGTTTCATCTGGCGTATGATAAATTCTACATACAAAATCTGTGATAATAACACAAAAAGCATGTACAACTAATAATAATCTCAACTGACAATGGCATTTTTTCAGCACAGGTTTCAAAGTCAGATTCTTTATGAATGCATTGTGCATTTTCTACTTAAACATTGTTATAAAAAATCACTTAGTAAGATAAACCATTTGGCCGTGTCAAGCAAAACGCTTGTAGTACAGCAAAATCATATACGAGAAAGAAATGCCACACCATGGCTGTCTAAATAAGACTGCACTTGTAAACAAGCTGGAAATGTACGCCCTTGAAATTTTCCTTATGATATATGGAACAACATTTACATGATTGCTATTTCTGCATTCATTTCTTCCTCATCTTTGAGAGTAATTGTATTTATTGGAACAGCCAACACCTAGCTATTTCTGACGTCACAATTATGACGATACCACTACATTGACATCACCATCACTTTTTCAGGCTTCTCTGGACTCCTTACGTGTTACCTCTTTATGTTGATGTCTGCCTGATATGAACAGTAATTTACCATTATTTAATCGTCACGCGTGTATGTTAGGCACTGCGTTTTGTGCAGTTGTTTCTTCGTAGATGGAATTCTCTCATATTTTCACAAAAATCTTTCAGTCTCTATATGTCACATAAGCACAAAGCTGATACAAAGTTTGGAAACCTTTTCAACGCATAAACAACCAAAAAAGGCGAGGAAAAAATTACAACTGGAAAAATTTGAAAAAAGACTACACATTTTTTCGTTTATGAAACACCCGAGTGAATGAAGCAGTGTCAAAATGATTTGCACTAAAGAACTACGCTTCTGGTTCTTATTAACGGCATAAAAAGTATAAAGTATGATGTAGCATCACTGATGAGTCCTAGAAGGATGAAACAGCTGTATGATGTAGCTCACTGACGAGCCCTAAAAGGACGAAACAGCTGCATGATGTAGCATCACTGACGAGTCCTAGAAGGACGAAACAGCTGCATGATGTAGCATCACTGACGAGTTTTAGAAGGACGAAACGGCGGTTTGATGCAGTTTAATACATTGTTTGACTCTACTCTGTCTAACTCTAAATTTGTATTGAAAGATGGTATTCACTTCTGTGTGTTTTGTACAATCACAATCTCTGTCCAGATGTACACGCCACCAACGAGTGCTATCCTTTCATTAAAGCTGGTCGCTGGGACGTTGGAAGGGTCGTCACAGAGACGGAGTACACATCAGTCGTGTCATAATCTTATTCACACGCAACATAACTGAAAAGCCTTCCATACACACCCAACAAACTTCAATCATAGCATCCTTTCCGTACTAGTGGCATTTTATTGAGTTATGTCCGAAATTATAAGTAATCAATCAATTTGGAATATTCCAATGGCTACTCGTCACGAAATGTCAAATGTTAGAATGGCTTGTATTGTTTTAGAGACGAACAGAAGAACTGATAAGAGATCGTGGATGATAAACCAGTCACGACGTCTTTCACCTCGCGGATGCTGATAACGTAATTGTATATATTCCATCTTTTATGTGGTGTATATATATATATATATATCAACAAAATTAAGCTCTCGTCATGCAACCAACCTTGCTATATCGGAATAGCCTCCGGAACTCTACCCATAATATGCCTATCATACAAAATGCACTGAAAGCCAACATGAATCACCAAACAAAGACATTACGATAACAAGAAAACTCAAATGCCACAGTAACATTAAATACCCGAAGCAAAACGATCATGAATATTTTTCAAAACATCTTGGATAAGGATTACCGTTATGAAGTGAGTAACAGTATCGAAAAAAACAAAGTACAAAATCTTATAGAAACTCTATATATAACGTATGATATACACATATCCTGTTATTTAAATGAAATAAATGAAACCATTTACTTTTACATAGCATTAATAAAAACAAATAAAAATGATAACAAAAGGCCCAAGGGGCCTGTATCACTCACCTGGCTATGCTTGGCCGAAATTGCTTCATTAAAACATATCTTTTTTCCTTTTCTATCCAACCCTCTGTCACTAGTGGGTCAGCCAAACCATTCACATTTCAAAACCCCTTGGAGGCCGAGACCTACCGTTTATACAGAATTGATTCCCCTTCGCCCAAGAATACTTCTGATCTAATTTAGGCAAAACCCAATCATTCCTACAGGAAGAGTAGGATTTTAAAGAGTTTGCCCTATTTCCCCTTTCAGGTCTCTCCTCTCCCCTCCCAGGGGCCGAGACCCACAATTTATACAAAACTGATACTCCTTCAAACCCCACTGTTCATGTCGGACCAGGTGAGCTATACCTTGTATAAATAATATAAAAACAAAATTAAGTCTTACATAAGAGTTCCTCGGAACTGTATGTGTGGCCTGCATAAAGTGTCACGGTCACCCAGAAATCGATGTGGATGTGCAATGATCAACCATAAAGTTGTAATATCAAAT